TCTACTATTTATGGTACAGGCCTCAAACTTCCTGTTAGGGTCGCATTTACGAGCTATTTCCTCGCATTTGCGAAAAATAGCTGGACACCAAAGGTTCGCAATTGTGAAGTGGGTCGGGGGAAGCAATGTTCGCTTTTGCAATCAAAATGATCACAATTGCGAGGAGTTCAAGTTCGCAAATGCGAGCAAACCATCGCAATTGCGATGACAGTAGAGGTGTGAGACTTTCGCATTTGCATAGGGTTTTTCGCATTTGCGGGGTTCGCAATTGCGACATCTACGCCTGGACTTAAGCTCAGTTCGACAAGATTTTTCTCATTCTTTCAAACTTTCAAACCTATAAACCCTAGAGGCGATTTTTCCAAGAACTTTTCTTCCCTAATTCATTGGTAAGTGATTCTAACCTATTTTCTTTCAATTACCCAATACATTTCATAAGATTTCAACCTATAATCTAGGATTTTCATGGTAGAAATTGGGAATTTGAGTGGAATTGGGATTTTTGTAAAATTGAAATTTATACCTCAAATTGAGGTCGGATTTCGAAACAAATTACATAACCGGGCTATGGGTGAATGGATAATCGGATTTTGGTCTGAATTTCGGGTGTGGACCAAGCGAGCCTGGGAGTTGACTTTTGTTGACTTTTTCAATAATGACCTAAATTGAATATTTTGCATTCGTGGGTAGTTCCTAAAGCTTATTTTGAATCGTTTGGCTGATAATTTGCTTGATTTGGTTGTCTTGGAGGCTTGTTCGCAGGCAAAGCCGTGGTTGAGCTTTGAGTTGATTTTTGGAGCGAGGTAAGTGTTGAGTTTAACCTGAGTTTAACCTTGATTTGAGGGAATTAGGAACCCTCGGACTATGTGCTATGTGAAATTCATGTGTTGCGCCGTATATGCGAGGTGATGAGTGCTTATACGCTGCCGAATTACTTGTTTCCCTGATCTTTCGCTTTTCCTTAATTGTTTTCTTCCATGTATTAATTGCTGTGTGCTTTAAATGCCTTCCTTGATTTATTTGCTACTTGTTAATCATTGTCCCTCGTGTTAAAATGTTAGACCTTCCCATACTTTCATGACTCGATGCTAATTGCCTTAATTGACTTACTAGAACCTTTAATTGTCATTTACTAGACTTGTCTTGTCGTACAATATTACATATGTGAATTCCCACGTTTGCACGAGATTTTCTTTCTGATTTTGCTTTATATTCATCAATTGTAGAGATTCCTGTGATTTGAGTTATTGATTGTTTGTGCACATTGAATATTCGGTACTGATATGGTGGGATCGTGTTGCACGCCGCAATATATGAAACAAGGGTGGATTGATATGGTGTATTAAGGGTGAATTTGTACTGACATGGTAGAATCGAGTTGCACGCTGCAACAAGTGAAGTAAGGGTGGATTCATACAATGAAATAAGAGTGAATTGTGATATTGATTCTATTATATGGTGGGATCGGGTTGCGCGCCGCAACATATATTTATTTATGATTGTGATATTGTTACGGTGGAGTAAGGGAGGATTGTGTTGTACGGTGGGATCGGATTGCACACCGCAACAATCTATGTGTTTCTATTTCCTTGAGTTGTGTTGGTTTCGATATTTTCCATATGACACTGTAAGGATTGGTAATTCTGATCGATATTGGTTATTCTTCGAGGATTTAGCAATTATCTTCAGTTAACTGCTTTATTTCGTTATGTATTTTCCTTTCCAATTTTTATTTGATATTGCGTACAGGTTATAGTGTAAGTGACCTGCCTTAGCCTCGTCACTACTTCGCCGAGGTTAGGCTCGGCATTTACAAAGTACATGGGGTCGGTTGTACTCATACTACACTCTACACTTCTTGTGTAGATTTTGGAGTCGGTCCCATCGACGGATATTAGCTTGCTCGGGTTGACTAGTTGCGGGAGACTTGAGGTATAGCTGCTCAGCGTTCGCAGCTCCTAGAGCCCCTTTCCCTTTTTATTAGCTGGGTATTTTCCCTCAGACAACTTATGTTTTATTCAAACCCTTATTTATACTATTGTAGTAGCTCGTGCACTTGTGACACCGGGTCCAGGATTGTATTAAATATTTCAATTGTTATGGCTTCCACATTTTTACTTTGGATTATTACAGCTAGTTCAGTTTCTTTCTTATTATTTAATCTGAATTGTTGAAAATGGATGAATGGTTCTAACGTTGGCTTGCTTAGCAAGTAAAATGTTAGGCGTCATCACGATCCCGAAGATGGGAATTCCGGGTCATGACAAGGCATCTTATGGATCTTAATACCAAAGGTTAAATCGGCTACTCCCAAGTCTTTCATATCAAACTTGCTAGTTAGCATACGCTTAGTCGCATTTATGCAAGCAATGTCATTACTCATTATTAGCATTTCATCCACATATATGCAAACAATGACTATGTGATTTGAAATATTTTTTATGTACACACATTTATCACATTCATTTATCTTAAAACCATTTGACAATACTGTTTGGTCAAATTTTGCATGCCATTATTTGGGTGCTTGTTTTAGTCCGTAAAGGGACTTAACAAGTCTACATACCTTCATTTCTTTGCCTAGAACCACAAAACCTTCAGGTTATTCCATGTAATTTCTTCCTCCAATTCTCCATTTAAGAAGGTTGTCTTAATGTCTATTTGATGGATTTCAAAACCATACACCGCACCTAATGGTACTAATGTTCGTATAGACGTAATTCTTGTAACAGGAGAGTATGTATCAAAATAGTCAAGGTCTTCTCGTTGTCTATACCTTTTGACAAAAAGTCTTGCCTTATATTTGTCAATAGTTCCATCATCTTTTATTTTCATCTTAAAAATCTATTTAGCCCCCAATGGTTTATTGTCGGGAGGAAGATCAACCAATTTTCATGTATGGTTGTTTAGTATAGATTCTATTTCACTTTGACTACTTCTTTCCAAAATAATGACTCCGAAGAAGACATTGCTTCTTTAAATGTTCGAGGCTTATTCCAATAAGAAAGTCACAAAATCTGGTCCAAATGAAGTAGACGCTCTTTGACGTTTACTACGTCTTGGATCCTCCTGATTAGACGTACTTTCTTTTGTTTCTTCCCGTGGTCATTTAGATTCTTCACCAATTGACTCACATTCCTTTTTATACGAATGGATATATATTTTCGAAAAATTCAGTATTATCTAATTCTATAACCGTATTATTATGAATGTTGGAATCTTCTGATTTATGAACGAGAAATCAATATGCTTTATTATTGGTTGCATATCCTATGAAAACACAATCAACAGTTTTCGGTCCTATCTTTACCTTTTTGGGTTTAGGAACTTGCACTTTTGCTAAACACCCCCACACTTTAAAATAATTCAAGTTGGGCTTCTTTCCTTTCCATCTTTCATATGGAATGGATTGTGTTTTTCTATGGGGTACTCGGTTTAGTATCCGGTTAGCCATAAGAATGACTTCCCCCCACAAGTTCTGTGGAAAACCAGAAGTTATCAACAAAGCATTCATCATCTCCTTTAATGATCGATTCTTTCTTTCTGCAATCCCATTGGATTGGGGCGTGTAAGGGCCGTTATTTGATGAATAATTCCATATTCTAAACATATTTCTTCAAAAGTAGATTCGTATTCATCACCCCTATCACTTCTTAACATTTTGATTTTCTTATTAAGTTGCGTTTCAATTTCATTTTTGTATTGCTTGAATGTATCTATTATTTCATATTTACTACTAAGTAAGTAAACATAGCAATATCGAGTATTGACGTCAATAAAAGTTATGAAATACTTCTTTTCACTGTAAGATGATATTGACTTCATGTCGCAAATATCTGTGTTAATTAAGTCTAAAGGATTTGAACTCCTGTCAACTAACTTATAAAGATGTTTAACATACTTAAATTCCACACGTATTTGACATTTTGATTTATCGCATTCAAACTTATATGTTGTTTGAGTGTAATATAAGAAAGAAAAGAAAGACTTTTGAAGAAAGAGGGTAAGACTTTTCTTTTTTACTGGGTTCATGTACAGAGGCAGAGCCACATGCACCCAAGGGGTGTTAATCGACACCTCTTTGTCAGAAAATTACATTGTTTAACTCGATAATTTTTTAAAAAATAAGTATGTATACTATATAATGACACCCCTTGACTTTTTGGTAAGTTTATTTCTTTAAATTTTGACCCCCTTAATGAAATTCCTGGCTCCGCCACTGTTTATGTATATTTTTTTACTTCTGATTAAATTTGAGATTCTTGGGTTTTGGTTATAAGAATTTGTCTTGCTTGATTCATGTGTTAGTGTTCTTCTTTTACACGTGGGGTTTAATAATTGGGTTAGTCCTACTTCTTGACTAACAATGACAAAAGACCTTCGTATCAGTGCCTTTTATTGAGAGATCACTCTCATCTATATAATGGATAACAAAATTTTCAAGAATATCTTGCCATCAAATGTGATCGTAGGTAAGTCACTTGCACAATAATCTTCATAGTCTGTACCAGTGACATACATACGATCTGAAACCAAAAGGAATCTTTTCACCTTACTTTCTGAACGTGTGTCTACATGGTATATGTACTTCTACTTATACAAACAAAGGGGAAAGACAAAGGACAAAGACCCATAAGCCCATAACTAATTCTGTACAAAAATAAGAAAAAAAGGACAAAGACCCATAACCAACTATATTTTATACAACTAGACAATTATATGTACTATGTCTTGATATTGCTTCTGTTTGCTCAATATTTGAGACATCTTTTGTGAGAGCTCTGTTAACACGATCACACTGATCATGGCAAGAAAGAAAAATATTCTGGTCCTATTAAATTCAAATCCTGAGTTTGTCTCTCTGTATGCTGGGGAGATTATGTCGGGATCTGTTGATCAATCTGATGGATCACCCATCTGGATCAATCTGATGTATCTATGTGTAGTAATTCAAAGCACTATTTAGAGCTAATAGAGCTTGTTGGAAAAGGCAATTTGGACTATCTTGCCATTGGGCATATGTCACAAGGAAAAAGATGTTTATCTGTTGATGAAAGAGATATATTCTTTATATTCTTCATTGCATGATAAGGTAAGTGCCCCAATCTTAAATGCCAAAGTTTGTTGGAATTCATAGAATCAGAAACTGCAGTTTTATTCATTTTCAAACTTTCATTAGATGGAAAAATTCCTCTTACAGATGTTTGAATAGACTCTGGGACAGAACTACACGATTGAACAAAAGACTTTGAGTTGGCTGCACTACAAGTTTTTACATGATTTTTAGGGAAAGGAAAGAAAGGCTTATTGGACACTCTAGACTTAGTTGAATCAACTTCGAGCACATAGAGACCAGCAAAAGCTTCACCAAGCACCATTTGCCTCTTCAGAGAAGGGGCCTGTACAAGACATTCAGATTTAGTAAACAAAACATTAGAATTTAGCTGCTTGCACAATTGGTTAACATACAAAAGATTATGGTTGAAAGAAGGAATATAAAGAACATTATGCAACTCAAGTTCAGGTGAAATTAATACACTTCCTAAACTATAGACTTTGACTTTATAAGAATTTGGTAGTGTAACTTGAATAGGGAAAGGGAGTTGTTTGAAATTGTTTAGAAGTGTTTTATCATGAGTCATATGTTGTGAGGCTCCTGAATTAATTATCCAAAACTTGGATGTGATAGTTGTAAAACAGGAAATAAAGGTGTGAAAAGCAGTACATTTACCCACAAAGTTGGCACTTGCATTAGCATCAGAACCTGAAGTACTTATGTTTCCAGCCTGCACAAATTGTATCATCTGAATCAGCTGCTCACACTATTCATTTGTGAACCCCTGTGGATTCATTAGGCTAGGTGCAACACCTCGAGTGATAACTGCTCCTCTTCCTGATGTTTCACCTTCCTCAATCACTGCTGCATTAGCCTGAACATTTTCAAAGTTTCTCTTCGGCTTAGTGAACTTGAAAGACGGTAGGTACCCAACCAGTTTATAACATTTCTCTTTCTGGTGTCCCTGCTTCTTACAGTAAGAGCAGAAGTTATTTTTCCTTGCTTCAGTGTTACTGTTATAATTTCCACCCTTGTACTCGCTATTAGTTTTTTGTGCATTAACATTGAAAGCACTAGGCTCAACTGACACATGGTGACCAGAGTGTACCTCTCTTTGAGACTCTTCATGTAAAATGATTGAATAAGCTTGTGCCGTGGAAGGAAGGGGCTTCATCATGAGGATGTTTCCCCTTACTCCAGAATATCCCTCATTGAGCCCTATCAAGAACTGGATTAGCTTTTGATCTTTATTCATTTTGTGATTGTGAGTTTTTGCTCCACAGTTGCACTCACACCCACAAGCCATGAAGGTATTAAGAATTTTCATTTGATCCTAGATTCTTTTGAGCTTGGTAAAGTATGCCGCAACATCATTTGTTCCTTGCAAAATGTTGTTAAGTTCTCTTTGCAGCTGGAATAACTTTGCACCATCAGCTTAGCCATTTCTTTGTTCTAGCTCAACCCAAAGTTCTTCAGCTGTTTGAGAGTAAATGACACTTTCTGCTATATCATTGCTTAAGGAGTTTAACATCCACGTAATGACCATGTCATTGCATCTTCTCCATTGTGCAAAAAGAGGTGAGTTCTCAACTGGTTTTTGACATGAACCATTGATGAATCCTAGTTTGTTTTTAGCAGAAAGAGAGATTAATACCCCCCTTCTCCAATTTTCATAACTGGTTCCATCGAAACTGACATTAATAAGGCTCTTTCCAGGAGAATCAGAAGAGTTGAGAAAATATGGATGAGTTCCATCCACCAAATTTGAAGCTACTATTGTGGTATTCCCAACAGCAGCATTAAGGATAGTCCCGGGTGTGACTTCTTCATATGAAATACCAGATTCTGAAGCAACAACCATAACAAGGAAATGATAGAACAGAAAGATGAAGGAGAAAAAACAACAACAAAGGATAGAGAAATAAGATCTCTAAATTAGAGCACCTGCTCTGATACCATGAAAGCAAAAGGAATCTTTTCACCTTACTTTTTGAACGTGTGTATACATGGTATATGTACTTCTACTTATACAAACAAAGGGGAAAGACAAAGAGACAAAGACCCATAAGCCTATAACCAATTATGTACAAAAATAAGAAAAAAAAAGGACAAAGACCCATAACCAACTATATTTTATACAATTAGACAATTATATGTACTATGTCTTGATATTGCTTCTGCTTGCTCAATATTTGAGGCATCTTTTGTGATAGCTCTATTAACACGATCACACTGATCATGGCAAGAAAGAAAAAATATTGTGGTCCTATTAAGTTCAAATTTTGAGTTTGTCTCTCTGTATGCTGGGGAGATTATGTCGGGATCTGTTGATCAATCTGATGGATCGCCCATCTGGATGATAAGCAAATGAACAAGTGATATGTGCCCCCTTGTGCTTCTTACCCCAACCTCAGATTGTGTTATTCACACATACAAGGAGAGTGACCTGTACTAGGTACTAGTTTCAAGTCATGTCTATGATCTTAGTTAAAGGTAAAACAACAAATATTTGTTCTGTTGTCTTTGAAAAATGTTCAGGATTAGGGGTCAATCAACAACATTGTGCTTCTTACCTGGCTCTCTTTGCTATGTTTATTATCATGCATTCAGAGGCGGTTGCAGAACTTTCTTGGCTCGAATTCGAAATTCTACCATATCTTATTTAATTTACTGTATTTGAAATTTATTATTTGTACTTATTTAGTAAATTTACTTTTAACACATAATCTAAGTCAAAAGGATGAAGCTCTAACTCCTTCACTAGATCCGCCAAAATTAAGAAACTAGATAAATAATCAACATCAAGCGCAAAATATATAATCCTACTTAACTACAATTAAACGATAAAAAATTATACAAATAAAAAAAAACCATTTGTATTTAGTCATTTTGGATATTTGACATGCTTTTTATTTGCAGCCGATATTTGAAAAAAACTAATAGATACATAAAAATTGTTTTTATATATACTTTTATTACTTAATAACAATTAATTACCTTGTTTGTTTTACTCACTTTATATAGTACTATTAAAAATATATTTTTCTTTGACCACGATTTTTTAAAATTTTAAAAATATTTTAATTATAAAGAGTTGTACTCCCTCCGTTTCAGATTTAGCAGTAACGTTTTCTTTTTGTTTGATCTCAAAAGAACTTAATTTTCTAAATTTAGAAATAATTTAATTTAAATTAACTTCTTAATGAAAATTTTTATCGCCACACAAATATTATGATATGTTGATGATCATAAATTTCAAAAGTCTTTGCTTATTCAAACTTTATCGCATAAACTATAAGAAGTAATTTTTAGTAGTACTATTCATTTAGTTTCTAGTTATGTATATTTTTTCTTTATATTTTTGTTTATAAATCAGATATCAGAAAATAGACCTAAAAACTAGTAATAATGTAGTATTAGATATTAGTGCAGGTAATTCTGATCTTATTATCTATCGTTTCACCATCCTCTCCCATGGTGGGAAAGAAACCTAAAATCCCAAAGAATTTCCTAGAAAATTAGTCAACTGTAGGTCGCATTTTGTTCCAGCGACCTAGTCTTAAAATTCCTGTACAGAACTCAGAGCTCGACGTCCACCTCCCTCTAAACCGCTATTTACCGGCGAAACGACCATCCCAAAACCCCAAATTTTCAATTTCTTAACAAATCAACTAACTACCGCAGCGTAGTGGAGGTGTAAATCAAGATTTTTTGGTTGAAAGTTCGTGAAATTGAAGTTTTGGAAACTGTCAAATTTGGAAATTCTTTTCAAAAGAGGTTTTTTTCGTTAAGAAAAAATGTTATTTATATATATTTGATAGTATTGTATCATGGAAACATGATTTATATTTTTTGTCGTTATTTTCGAACTATTTAATGCTATTAATTTGAAATTTTAGTGTTTGGTTTTAGTGTGTTTATAGTTAGTTGTTATGTTAGTTTTAGATTAGATTCATTTTTTTATAACTATGGTGTTCGAGCTAGCTTGTCAGGCAACTCGACATTTAAATTCCACGGGTGCTCCGAGAAGAAAATTTATTGGTTATAATTCTGTCCACCAAGGCTTGGACATATGAGAAGAAATTACCATAGTATTTTTGCCTACGTTAGATTTGAACCTAAGACCTCATGATTCTCAATCCACTTTATTGACCACTAGGTCATCTTTTGGGAGTCGATTGAGTTCATATTTTAGTAGTAGCTATAGGAAAACTTAATCAAATTTAGTTTTCTCCTAAACCAATTACCCGCTCGACTATTCTATCGGATACCCGTTACCTCTCATCAATACATGTACCGGATAATTCTACATACCAACACTTAGACAGATAAAAAGAAATTGCCTAGTAATTTTTGCCTCTACTAAGATTTGAACCTAAGAATCTCATAGTTCTCCCACTTTAGTGACCACTAGGTCAGATCCTTGGATGTAAAACTATCACCATTTATTCATACTAGTTTTTTCTAAAGCAGAGAAGCTTTTTATCTCTCCAAATATACTTGTCCAATAATCAGTAAGCAAAATCCTAATAACTATCCAATTTTATTTTTTGTTCTTTTGAGAAGGATCTATCCAGCTTTGTTAGACAAAAAATAGTAATGGGGTAAATAAAAAGTAAGTAAGAATAATATTTAAATTTCGAATGTTAAAAGAAGCATATTCAACAATGTTAAAATGTTTTACTTAAATAGAAGCATAATCCGCAATGTTAATATGCTAATTTTACCACTTAGAAATTAATTGGAAGCGTGATGTTAGTTTTTATTGAGTTGTTCCAAATCGGAGGGATTTGAGGTCTTTGGTCTCCTTATATGATCTTGGGCAATATAATGAGTTCCTTCAATATCAAGCAAGTAAGCAAACATCTCCACAAGTAGCCTCGGTTGCTCAAACTGATACTTGTGTTGCTTGTAATTCTTTTGCTTGTGTTTCCCATTTTAGTACTCTTGGACCATGGGTCATGGAGTCAGGCGCTTCTGATCATATCTTTGGTAATAAATCACATTTGTCGAATATTGTGTATTCACGTTCTTTTCCCACTGTTACTTTAGCCAATGGGTTTCAAACTAAAGCAAAAGGAGTTGGATAAGCTAATCCCCTATCTTCTGTCACTCTAGATTCCGTTCTTTATGTCCCTGGTTGTCTTTTTAGTCTTGCATCTGTTAGTCGTTTGACTCGTGCCCTCCATTGTGGTATATATTTTATTGATGATTCTTTTATTATGCAGGACCGCAGTACGGGACAAATGATTTGGCACATGGCGTGAATTAGAAGGCCTTTACTACCTTAACTCACTCAATCCCTCCACAACATGTCTAGTTACAGATTCTCTAGACCTAATTCACAGACGTTTAGGACATCCGAGTTTATCCAAGCTTCACAAGATGATGCCTAGTTTGTCTAGTTTGTCTCCATTAGATTGTGAGTCGTGTCAGCTTGGGAAACATACCCTAGCTTCCTTTCCGCGTAGTGTTGAGAGTCATGCAGAGTCTGTTTTCTCTTTAGTTCATTATGATATATGGGTCCTAGAAGAGTTGGTTCAACCTTGGGATTTCGCTATTTTGTTAGTTTCATTGATGATTATTCAAGATGTACTTGACTTTTCTTAATGAAAGATCGTTCTGAGTAGTTTTCTATATTCCAGAATTTTTGTGCTGAAATCAAAAATCAATTTGGTGTTTCTATTCACATTTTTCGCAGTGATAATGCCTTAGAATATTTATCCTCTCAGCTTCAGCAGTTTATGACTTCTCAAGGAATTATTCATCAGACATCTTGTCCTTATACCCCTTAGCAAAATGGGGTTGCAGAGAGAAAGAATAAGCACCTCATTGAGACTGCTCGCACACTTCTCATTGAATCTTGTGTTTTGCTGCGTTTTTGTGTGATGCAGTTCTCACAACTTGTTATTTGATTAATCGGATGCCTTCATCTCCCATCCAGGATCAGATTCCATATTCAGTATTGTTTCCCCAGTCACCCTAATACTCTCTTCCCCTCGTATTTTTGAGAGCACATGTTTCGTTCATAACTTAGCCCCTGGGAAAGATAAGTTAGCTCCTCGTGCTCTCAAATGTGTCCTCCTTGGGATATATATCGTTGTTACTCACCTGTTCTTCGTAGGTACCTTATGTACGTCACATTTTTTGGGTCTACACCTTTCTTTACCTCTTCTGACTACCCTGATATATCTGAGGTCTTACCTATACCGATCTTTGAGGAGTTTACTATAGCTCCTCCTCCACCTTCAACCACAAAAGTCTTACCTATACCAACCGTTGAAGAGTCTAGCGTTGCTCCTCCTAGATCCTCAGCCACAGGAACACCACTCTTGACTTATCATCGCCGTCCGCGCCCAGCATCAGGCCCAACCGATTCACGTCCTGCACCTGAACCTGCTCTTACTGCGGACTTGTCTCCTAGTACACCGATTGCCCTTCGGAAAGGTATACAGACCACGCTTAATCCTAATCCCCATTATGTCGGTTTAAGTTATCATCGCCTGTCATCATCTCATTATGCTTTTATATTTTCTTTGTCCTCTGTTTCCATCCCTAAGTCTACAGGTGAAGCATTGTCTCATCCAGGATGGCGACATGCTATGATTGACGAGATGTCTCCTTTACATATGAGTGGTACTTGGGAGCTTGTTCTTCTTCCTTCAGGTAAATCTACTGTTGGTTGTCGTTGGGTTTATGCAGTCAAGGTTGGTCCGAATGGCAAGGTTGATCAACTTAAGGCCCGTCTTGTTGCCAAGGGATATACTCAGATACTTGGGCTCGATTACAGTGATACCTTCTCTCCCATGACTAAGATAGCATCAGTCCGCCTTTTTCTATCCATGGTTGTTGTTCGCCATTGATCTCTCTATCAGCTGGACATTAAGAATACTTTTTTACACGATGACCTTGAGTATGAAGTTTATATGGAGCAACCACCTGGCTTTGTTGCTTAGGGGGAGTCTCGTGGCCTTGCATGTCGCTTGCGCCGGTCACTTTATGATCTAAAGCAGTCTCGAGCCTGGTTTGGTAAGTTCAGCACAATTATCCAGGAGTTTGGCATAACTCGTAGTGAAGTTGATCACTCTGTGTTTTATCGGCATTCTCTTTCAAGTCTCTGTATTTATCTGGTGGTCTATGTTGACGATATTTCTATTACCGGCAATGATCAGGATGGTATTACTAAGTTGAAGCAACATCTCTTTCAACACTTTCAGACTAAAGACTAAAGTATTTTCTGCCTTTCTGGGTATTTGAGATCCGTGGTCTCCTTATATGGTCTTGGGCAATCCTCACCTCATAAGCTAGCTTTTGGGGTTGAGTTAGGCCCAAGGTCGATTTATCAGTTTTAAATATGATGTTAGTTTGGAATATGAGTCAGAAAATAGCATCACTAACTGAATTTGTTAAAATTTTAGTATTTAGCTTAGTGAAAGAATGATAGTTCGAATTTATGAAAACAAACATTTATTTTCATTTTTTACAAATTTGGATTTTCAATATTATCAATCAATTGAAATTCCGAAGATTTATTGAAACAATCAATCTGATTATTGTAATATATAATATTTAATTAGGTCCATAGAATTTAATCTATGTTACTTTAATTAGATAATATGTAATTTGTGATTTTTTGTTAATGTCACAAGTTTATTATTTAAAGTAATTAAAGCATTTCTTTTTCATTTGTTATGATAGTTCGTATTTATGTTAGTAACAGATAGCAAATGCAATATAATAATTAGTATGTTAACATTTAGTCTCATTTGATTTATTTGTTTTATGCATTGGTTTATAGGTTAGAATTTCTTGATTGTGTAGGTACATTTTAGGATGGAGCCTTCACGTGTTCACCCCGGTCCCTTAGAGTATAGTGTGCTCAAGCTGCAGTCTATGCATAGGTTGCATTTTGTTTGGGAAGGAGACATTGGGGATACTGATCTAGTCCATCCACGCCGTGTGGACGGTAACTTCTGGCGTCATATGCGAGATCATCCCCAGTGCGATCGTATCATCCAATGCTTATACGGATCAGCATTCTGGGGAGTGTACGCCGTCGGTAGGATACAACTTGATTGGTCATTGATCACAGCGCTTTTGGAGCGTTAGCGCCCGGAGACACACACGTTCCACTTTCGAAGTGGTGAGGCAACCATCACACTACAAGACATTGAGATTATGTACGGGCTCCCCGTAGATGGACAACCTGTGCACGCTGTAGAGGAGCAGTCATGTTCTATGTGGCAGGATGAGATGGAGCGTCTGACTGGTTTTCGCCCCCCTATAGCAGCGTTGAAGGGTTGCAGATTGAAGATATCTGCCATTGATGCACATGTTACCCAGTTAGCAGATCTTACCGATGATGATCCTGATGAGGAGGTCCATAAGCGATGCCGGCTTTACATTTTATGGATGATTGGTGGCCTCATCTTCCCTGACACTTCAGGGAACA